GATGGAATTACGGATGCCTAGCTGACACACACACGCATGCACAGCTACTGAATTGATGCTACACTTGGAGCATACTGAAGGAGTCTAAGAGGGAAACTTGACATTCAACAGTGGTTGAAAGCGGTGGCTGCCAAACACCAAACCAGGTCCACAATGGCACAATCATTCCATCATCTAGACAGGATTCATGCAACAACCAAACTAGGTAGTTTCAGTACTATTCATGCACTTCTTTTAGTATAATTCTTTTGTAGGCTTTGATAAACAGTTTTATTTTGGACCAACAATAAGACAGCCGTTGCTGGCAAAGCAAAACGGGATGACACAAGAGCCTCTGATCACAGAGCTGCCACGCTGTGATTTGCAGGAAGCCGATAAGCGCAGCGAGATACGGCAGAGCTGGCAGGCACGTGCAGCCGCCCTCCCTCCTTCCTCTGGCCCCATCTGGATGCTCCATGCAGCCAGGCTCCCCCTTAGGTTCACAAGACCTCAACCTCATGATACTAAACTCAACTATCTTGAAGGCTGGCCAAACAGTTAGGGAGGAGATGTCACATACACAGGGCAGAAAACAACAGGAACCATCACATTATCACCACTTCTAACTGATCTCCAAGGACGCCTCCAGAGAGGAGCAGCTCTAACCAAATGCTCAAGATGGATTTATTGATCAGCCTACTGACAGTTCACTGGAAGACTATAACCTACATGATTTGGAAGTCAACATCAATAATCATTCAGAAATAACACCCCTAAAAAAGTCGGAGCGGAGGACTCCGGCACTCACATCCTCATGTAACCAGCCAAAACAAAAGCTGAGCTCAGTAATGAAGGCTGTGATGATTGTGTTTGACTCTTTAGTATTCCACTAACAATATTTGCATGTCAAAAAAAGAAATAAAACTTTTATTGTAATTGTAGCATCTATTTTTAAAGGTATGTAAAGCAAGGGGAAACTGGAGCTGCAGAGGTCTCTCCCACTGCTCAGGAATGTTATCAGAGATTACAGCGCATGTCTTGGCTTTGGCACAGGCTGTTTATTTAATCTCAACCCCCACACATTATCTCAATTTTCCCTTCAAATCAATCACTGCTCTTAATGTTTGTGTGGCTTCTTCCTCCTGGGAAGAAATGATGCTCTGCTAAGAAGAACATTTTGTTAAACTAAAAGCAACCATACAGCAACTCTTAGGACTATTTTCAATTTGATTTAAAGATGTGCAGCGTGCTGTTCTTTAAAATCCACTTTGCCACATTAAACAGCATTTTAACCTGGTGAAACCACTGGGTAATACTAGCCTAGATCGTCATCTTACCACCGATTCAAGACTGCCTCTGCTGTGGTGGTTTGGGACGGTGTCCTGTTGACAAAGTTAACTCTAATCTATCATTTTGATGCACCATGACTAATTCCATTTGTCTACCATCATCAGTTCTCATTTATTACTGTGTAATAAATGTGAAAACCACTGTTGAAATAAAATGGATTTGTGATTCGTTTTAGTTTGGAAAGGTCAGGCATAACGTTCTGGTATTTTTGCTAAAACGATCAAGACCAGGCTACATCAGTGGCAGTCTCAATGTAGTAAGCTGGTTAATGTCTCACTGTTTAGAGGACAGGACATTAACAGGACAGGGAAAACAAGCCAGTGGATACAGGACATTAACAAAGACCAAATGTCTGGCGATTGTTTTACATGGTGCATCTTATTTCTTTTGGCCTTTTCCTTACATAATTTGACTTCAAGAAGGATTGATTTACTTAAACATTGCCAAGTGCAGTGCTGAGGTATTTCTTAAAAATAAGATGTGCCAAAGAAATTCCCATAAAACCAAGTGGGCCGTTTAGGTTTTATGGGAATGACCTTGAGAGGCAAGTAAGACAACAGGAGGGCAGTTTATTAGTTAATTATTACAGGTGTTAAAATACCACAGTCCTACAGCATAGACCTGCTCAAATATTGGTCTTTGAGCCATAAAAGCTTCTGCAGACTGTTTATGCCCCAGATTCCTGCTCTTATCTTATCCGGTGAATGTCACTGCAATAACACAACCTGTTATTCCCCAAGCGGTAATGATGCGGGGCATGCAGCCACTGGCTCAGGGGGAACAAGCCCTCAGAATGCAAGACTACAAAATGTCTCAAGATTACCCAGAGGCCAATGCGCTGAGGTCATGCACGCTTTGAGTTTCAGTCATACTGCACTGAACTGATTATGAGCAAGTGATGTTCCTTGTGCTGAAGGGAGGAATGACCCTCTTCTCTTTGATCTCTGCTATTGTCCCATACCTGAAGCATGACATCAAGCCTGACTGTCAGATTAAACCAAAACAGGCTTTGCTTGAAAAGCTGCAAAATGCACAATGTCCAGCTCTGCAACGAGCAGCCTTTGACATGGCAGATACGGATCTGGTCAGTGTTAAGAGCTCGGCTTTCACACATACAGTAGCTGGTCCATGTTGCAACTGTGTAGCCGCACTTAGCGGTTACCTTTTAACATTTGTCACAGTATCAAATGTAACTTAAAAAATAAACACTCCCTACTATTAGCAGATAACTTCATACAGTACAACCACCATTTACATTCTGTTTGTGACTACTGATGTTAGCATCTGTTGTCACAGGACTGTGAGTGCAATTTACTTTGAATTTGAGTGAGGTATTCAACCACAGGCCCTAAACAAATCATCAGCCAGTAGGCAAGAACCTTGGAAACAAGGTCCTGAACTGCTTAAAAGACCGATACCATGGGATCAACAAGGAATTTACCAAGTGAGCCTTTGGAAACTGTTTATCACTTAATTCTGTCTATGCTCAGTCAGTCCATCTCAATTTTACTGCACTGAAACATCTTTATTGAATCTCAAGTCTGGTTTCAGCTGAGCCCATTGGTTTTGACTGGTAACAAACATTCTTATATCCAGGCTGCCAACAATAATACAAGATGTTTGTGGTTAGAAACGGCAAGTTTAGAATCCTGTGGTTCCAATAAGACTCGTATTCCACCGATCTGATTTATGATGCACATATCAAAGAGAAACATTTCAAAAACTATTTCTGACACAACTGGCAAACATACTGTATAATTTTTAAAATACGTCTTCTCTGCCACATACGTCCGCACAGTTGTGGTTAAAACAAAAACAGCACATGATTTTAGACATTGTGATCACAACCTCTTCTTCTGTGAACCAAAATTATTTTATTGTAACATAAGTATCATATACTGACTAGTTCAACTTCTGCAGATGAAAAGTGAAATATTTTCCAGGGAACCACTTCCTTGATTATTAACTGTTGAAACTAGAACTGAGATGTACATGCAGTTAGCTGTGTAACCCTCATGCAAAATCAGAGATGCAAGACAATTAAATCCAACCAATGCAGACATGCTGGGGTACCTTCAATGACATCTAGCATCACAGAGACAGGGAGAAAACAAAAGCCTCCTATAGACTTGTGTAAAGTGCATATAAAAACAAAATCTCAGCCTCAACTCCAATTCTAATGAGCTGTCGTGGCCTCAACAGGGACAGTCTCAACTTCCTCTTACTATGCAAAGTAAAATAACACATAAAAGTTGATCAACCTTGTCAGAAGAAATACAATGAACAGCAAAAAAGGAAGGATCTTGGGTCTGAAAGGTTCACTGTAAGAATTTTCATAAAGGAAATAGAAATTAGCTTTTTAAAGCTGTCTAAAAATGTCAAACTGAGCTATTAATTAAATACAAAATAACTTAGAATGAGGAAAACAAAACAGGGACATGACAGTAGCCATGCTGGGATGACCTACTTCTATAAATTTAAATAAGAATATCATACTGAAGCCACTGCAGAGCTGGCAATCAGAACAGACTGAATTTATGTGCTTGAATACATGTGTGCATATTTATTTTAACCACCATAAAAATGAAAAAGGAAATGAGAGAAGGGAGGGATTTAAAGTATGTAGGGCTCAGTGGAATTTCAAACCCCAACCCCCGTCCACCGCTCCCCTCAAGCATTCACTGTAAAAGGCCCCCTGCGTTAGTTTCCATTACTTGGGTTTAACTCATGATTAGCTCAATTGATTTGCCTTCTCACCTCTGACTAACAGTTGACATGGCAGCATTCACTGGTGCATTACAGCCTGTCCTGAAAGTGCAACATGCACCTACACGGAACATGTTAAAAACACTAACTCACACTAACCTAGACAAAGGGGGCGGGGGGGTGGTGGAGTCCATAATCCACAATTCACAGGAATGTTTACTAAATCACTTCCGGCTGCCCGTACTTCACAGCCAGAGGAGTCTCTACCGAGGAAGCTTGGAAATAAACACAGGCCTGGCTTCTTTCACTGGAGACCAGATCTTGTGTGCTGATTTTACCCCCTTTATTGTTACAAATTACCTACAAGTATTTCCTAAATGAAAGCTGTATTTACCCATAGGAACAGTGAAGTGTTGCCAGACACACATTTGCCTGAAGGACTGATCCCCAACCTCAGAAGTGTTTCAATGCCACCTCACCAAATTCAATACTATACTGTAACATGAAAAAGCACCTGTGTGAATAACCATGCTTCCTTATAGACTCTGACAGAAAGACACAAAATGTCCAGCTACAAAAGTGACAGTTCAATTGTTTATTGGTTTTCTGTGCTTTTTCCATTGAAACGACTTCTAAAGGTACTGCATTTAGTGAATGTATTAGTTTTTGAGAAAGCCATCTGGAAGAACACTTTAAAGTTATGCATAACCTAGAATAGCTGGCTGTCTCTACTGTAGGTGTGGAGCTACAGGACAAGCCTGAGAACAGATGCTACTGACTTACTTACTGATTTACACAGAGCCTCTTTATGCTAACTTTACTAGCTTAAAAAGTTCGCATCAGGACCACCGGGAAACTCCTCCAAGACCCATGGGGGGTCCCCGACCCCCACTTTGAGATACGCTGCTCCAAACTACGGTGTTTGTGGTTAAAACCGGCCTGAAAGCAGAAATATAAGAGCTCACCATTAACTCCTTTGTTGGGGACATCGTTAACGTTGAAGCCTTTGGAGCTGTAAGCAGCTCGGACTTCGTTGCAGTTTTTCAGCTTCTGCTCCGCAGTTGCCGACACGGTAAACACAACCAGCGTGCAAGCCACACACAGCACCAACAGCGTCTTCATCTTGTTGTATCGCGTAAAAATAAAATAGCTACAAAGTTAGCACAAAAAGTTAGAAATACAGGCGCTCAGGTGTGTGTGTGAGCTAGGACAGCGCTGGAGCGACCGCGGCGCTGAGCTTCCTCATGGAGACGCTGGTTCCTTCAGCTCCGCGGACCCTTCATTCACAGCAGCTCAAACCACCGTGACAGGGGGGAAAAACACCGAAAATACCGTGAAACGAAGCCCAAACGTCGTCTGGTTAAGAGGCCCGATATGTGACACAAATGTCGAGTTCCAGCCTCAGTCGAAAAAACACACGAAGAAAGGACAGAACTAGTTTGAAAACATGTAAAAACTTTTTAACTGCAGGCAAGAATCTCTAAATCACACTGCTGCCTCACAGCTTCGACGAAAGTATAACCCACAGGAGGAGAGCAGACGGGTTAACGTTGTCTCATAGGTGTTTTTCTTCTTTCTTGTTTTCTTTCCTAACTTGAGGAGGCCGTGTTTCTGCAGGACAAGACCCAGGACTGTACGCTAGTGCTGCTGGGATCCAGATGTGAGCTGAAAACCCCGGCGGACACCCAGGAGAGAGTGCAAGTTCCGGGGACAAAGACCCAGGAATCAGGAACACCAGGGGTGGAGCGTGGAGCAGGGACTAGATTTCTATGTCTAGTAAGGCTAACCAGTGCTGGGAGTCAGGACTGGAGCTGAGGGCGGAGCTACACTGTGCACAACACGAGGGCTTATAATTATCAGGCCACACGACATAAAGGAAAGAAACATTAGCCAAATGGCCCTAAATCACAAATCTCTTTCACTACAGACCCCAGTTTGACCTGGGGGTGCAGAGGGGTTTCTTGTCTTGTTTTATTGTTGGTGTGGAGATAACAGCAGAGATAAAACCCTCTGAATTAAACAGATATCCCTCCCGCTTCTCTCCTTGTCCTAACAGGCATTAAGTGAAATCATTAGTGAAGATAAAGTTTATTGGGGACCTTTGGTTGCAGCCTCATGGACTCTCATGGGTCCCAAGGCCTCCATGTTGAAGAAAACACTTTTAATGCATGATAGTCATTTACATAACAAAAAAGCACAGGACACTGAAGAGATATTTTGTCAAAACGTGGTATTTGTATTCAGCATATAATAGATCTTAGTTTGTTTAAAATTCATGGATTAAAACCTGGCTAGTGTTATAGTACCTATGGAGGTAAAAATACAGGCCCGTGCACAAACACAGGTCAGGCTGTGTTCAGGTAGCAGCATAGCAGTGGTGTAATATACAGCTGCCTGTCATATCATGTGCTCAGTGTTGTAAACTCCAGTGACTTCAGTGATTAAAGGAGTGGTTCATCTGTACAAGTGAAACTGTCAAACTCAGATTACTGTCTGCTTGAAAATGAATGTTTTACATGTAGAAGAAAAATGACAGGGTGCTGTGCATTACATATAAAACAAATCATGCACAGCTTTACAGACAAACACTAATATCCAAGAAAAGATTTTAAGAAATGCCTTTAACAGAATTTCAGCCTTAAGCAGTTTGTTCTAAAAGTGTGTGTAACTGTAAAAGAGTGTGTCTGCATATGTGTCCTGAATTTTGCATGTCTTCCTGTTTGGAAAGTCTTTATATCAACTTTTTTAAAAGGTCATCTGTTCAACAGATACTTAATATCCACCATGTCCTTGTCTGTCCTGTGCTTGCTAAGAATACCTCTGGTCATATTTTTTTAATATTTTGTTCTGGTGTTTTCAGACACAGTTTGTTTTATCAGCTGTCTTGCTGCTCTGCTTCTGGCCCATGTCCTCATCTGAGTCTGTTGCTTCTTGTATCAGTTAGTTTTGTACTGAGAAGCTAATTGGGTAAATCAATGAAATGTGAAAAGCAAACTGTCAGCCTTTTAAATCACCACAACCGGTCACATATCAGCCACTGCCTTGTTCTTTCTCTTCAACAATAATAATATATATCATTCTAACCATTAAACTGCTTTTTCATCATGTCTCGAATGTGGGACATAAAATTTGATGAAGTGCACATTTTTTGGTCAGTCTTGTACACAAATCCCTTAATTTAAAAAAAAGGCCATAATAAGATGTTTTACTCCCTGTGTTTAAACATGCCAGGACTTGTGCGGGGTTTCTCTGTGTGTGTGTGCACACGTCCATTGGTTTGGGGGGTTGCACCAAGCAAAATGACATTCCTCCTTTTGTGTCCACATTCCTCAGGCGGCTCCATTCATTCTGTGTGACTGCGGCTGCTGCAGGGGAAGCCAGGGGTTGCTGAGTAGCAGGAGGAGGATGCTGGTGCAGGGCGCATGGGAGAGCATGGGCCCGGCGTTGCACTCAATAGGCCAACAAAAGGTAAGAAAATGCTCCAGTGCCATGGTCATTAGACATGAATGAGCTTTGAATGACGTGACATGTCTCAAGCGTTTCTCTCTGGCAGAGGAATTTACACATCCAGTGCAGTAAAAATCAGACTGGACTGGGAAGTCCACATGCACTCATGCACCTGAATTACTGTATATTGCTATTTTAGTTTATATGCACTGTGATGACCCTACAGGTTTGTAAATGTGCCTGAGCCTAAACATCTTTGTGTGACCATGAAATAAAGCTACAGTACATATTCATAGGGAGTCAGTCACTCAGACAGAAAATGCAACAATTCCTGATAGTCAGCTATTTTCACTGTTCCCGCTGATTAACATCAAATTGACCTTTCACTCTCATAATGCATGCTGTTTCAACATTGGCCCAATATTACCCTAAGAAAACATGTGAACTCTGCATTTGAATGGGCCTATTTGCCCTTTCTCCAGCCTTGCATTAGCATTATAACCCCCCAACTAGGGTTAGCTGCTACTCCCTCTGCAACCAGCGTTTGCTCATCTCCTAATAATCAGCCTTTCTTTTCCATCTTAAAAGCTACAATCCAGTTCAGCAGAGAAAAGCACAGCTGGAAAACAATGTTTTTATCTGGGTCTGGGGAGCAGAGGGGGTGTGTGGCCGTGAAAAGTTACAGCAGAGCGCCAGGACACAGAAACAGGATTTTGAAATGTGTTTTCAGTGACAGGTGTGATATGTGTCGGGCTGTGAGTGATTGGCCTTGTTAACAGAGTCGACAGGCTTTAAAAGTGTAGACGAAACACAAACAATTAGGACTCATGAACCTTGTTTCATTGTTGAGCTGTGGACAAACATCTGTGACCTGGTTGAGGTGACTTCAGGAGTAACACTAATGGAGTTCAATGTGGGGAAACCCCACAGTGAGGGGCAGAGAAATTTCTTTTTGCCTAGAGGGGTTCATCATCTGCCTGGAGAGAGAAAAACACTCATGATTCACATGCCATTTGAGGATCTGGAGAAGTAACACAGTCCAGATACACAGATGATATGATTCATGAAGGACTTTGAAGTGGATCAGAGAGTGAACAGCAATAAAGTAACATATATACTTGCAACATTATGTGTCCTAGTCATAACCTCTGCAGCACGCCAATCATTTTCTCTGAAAATTCCAGCTTGAATACCTAATGTGTGATGTTCAGTGTGTATTCCAGTAGTTAATTTATGAGCTGTCATTTATGGTTTTACCACTTTTCTCCAACTTACCTTATTCACTGTTACATAATGATTTCCTACATTTCCCAGATGGACTTTCAACAGCCTCAGGGAACTTGTTGCATAAGAAAGCTAAATCAGTTTAACAGTGTATTATCTGCTTCTGTCTGAAAGGCTGAAACATAACACTGATGTTTCTGTCCATAATTTAAAGTAAACTATAGTATGACAGTTGAACTAAATTGCTATTGTCTTTTATTAGAGTCATTCAGTCGAATACAATGTCTCTGGTAGCTGATGTCTTGCTACAGTGGGGATTATTTTCAATAGCTGGCTTGCCAACATCATTTTCAGGTGACATGGAGGCTGTACTAGCAGCTGCTAGCAGCATTTATCTTAACATTTTTCATGTTCATACACAATATATAAATATTATTTTAAGAGGTATTTCTCTGTACAGCTGTGTCATACTTATCCAGGCTAATCATCATTTTTCTGTCATTGTTTCATTAACGTAGCTACTCAGCTATATGATGGAGATTCTTGATCCTGTCTAGTAAGAGCTGACTGGTCAGTTATTTTATTAACAGACTCAGACTGCCGTCAATAGGCACAACATCAGAACTATAGAGACAGGAATACTAATTCAAAGGTCTGGAACCAGGGCCTTATATGAAATGGTATAATGTGAAAAACACATGGTGGCGGTATTAAGAAAGATGAAGTGAACAGGCTGAAAGCTACATATAACCATTCATGGGGTTGTCATTAGTCACACAAAAATGTACTGCATAAGAACAATTTGAAAGATTTAATAATCCCTTAAAATTTAATGGATATGTACTTGCATATGAAGTGAACACACCATCATTTTAGAGTGACACATACGTATGACAGAACCTGGCCTTCCAGCTTCTGTAACACTGGATTTTTAGGACAGAGCGTAATAATAATGCTGGAGTACAAACTGGTATTCGCTGTGTGTAAAATGGGTCATGTTGAAAGCTGTATGAAGAAGAAGCCTCTGGTGTTTGATTCTGAGGGACTGACATCAACAGCCAAGATTTACTGGTGATGATTTTGGCCTCTGTGTTGTTGCATCATAATTGGGTGTGGTCACAAGTACAACAGACGACTCTTGCTGTAATGATGGGTGTGTTCCAACAGAGCTGAACCACTGAACAGAGAGGTCAGCAGAGCAATGCCTTTCCCCCAGACAGGATTTATTGTGGAGTTGTTAAATGTGCACTAACTAAGCTTTTACATGCTGTCTGGTAAATCCAGTGAAAATGGGATAGGACCTGTTGTCTCTCTGCTGTGCTACTCCCCTCTATGACCCTTTACTCCCTGTAGTTCTTCTGTTGTTATTCCTGCTTCTCTTATCAGTGTATCATCTGTAAATTAGCCCTAACCAACACTGGCAGTAACATGCTCATGATTTTACCTTTGTATTGAATTAATTTGATTATAATTTTGGAGTAATTTGAGCTAGTGCAGCTGTAAGCTCAGTGGTAATTAAACCCATAAGACCTAAAACTAATAATTTTACCAGCTCTCCCTGGTGGTAACGAGCAGTATACCATGTCTTTCCCTTAACCATCACCAAACATAGCCTCCGGGGTTGATGAGGACCATCCTGCTTTGTTTTTCCACTGTATTTTTTCTCTGTCTGTCTCTGTTTAGAGGAGGGAGGGGCTGCTCCCCTCTCACACACACACACACTCAGCTGTGTGTTTACACACAGTGCTTGTAATGCTAATGCTTGAGGTGTGAGGATGTGAACATTGTAAGGAAATGTATGTGCCAAATACATTCTTGTTTATAAACCAAGACACTATGTCTTATTAGCACTTAGGGGCTATTATAAACAATAGTGAATGAGGAAACCTCATATGTCTCAAATGTTGTTAAAAGTACTTCACTGATTTAGCATTTCACTCCAGTAATATTGTCAGACTAATGATAGTGAAATTGATGCAACAGAACCAGGAATATGGTCTTTTTATTCCACAGTTTTCTACTTTTTCAAAACCTGGTGCTTAGATTACCCATAATTCAACTTGACCTTCTAACAGTTTGGTAGGAGATTTGAGTGTTATGCTAGTACCAGCCAATGTAGCCTGGAGCCACAGCCTTCTAACCTCAGGCACAACTCCCTCTGGAGACACAAAGGGCTTTATATTACTTTTACTACATAGGCAGTAGTCGTCCTCAACAGGCTTTGATGTGTAAAACTGGTTTCCTTTAATAGTCACACACATACAGACACATCAACAAAAAACTTCAGATTTTACATGGTACCCTTTGCCATCACTGTTTAACTGGATAATCATGTTATTGGGCATTCATTTGTATCCACTGCCTACCCCAGGCCTGATACTGGCCTGGGTTTTTTGACTGCCTTTCTCATGGCAAACACAGGTATAATTAATAACATTAATTAGTGCTGCATTCTGCTTAGATGCTCCAGTGTCAGGACCCTGGTACTCTCTATTCTGGACCATAGGCACAACTTACTGGTCCAACTATATGGAACAGAGTCATTATTACACTTGTGTTTCACCTGAAATTATTAAGTGTCATATAGTCTGTGAGTCCAGTCTACAGTCACAGCTTCTGGCAACAGCTTTGAATCAGTGTCTTTCATATGTCCATCACACCTCCTCAAGTCTAAGCAGCAAGGGAGCTGGGTTCCAGTTTTTGCCACATCTCATTAACCAAACAAAATAAACCAAACAATCTATAAAATCTGACTAAAAGACAGAAGAAGAAATTATTAGACACAAGGGCCAGGCTCAGAAAATGCACAAGCCCAATGCAACATAACAAAATTAATTTACATATAGTTTTATACATATTTATATTTGATATTACTTCTCACATTACCCACAGTGCTAAAGATTAAGCTAGAAATATGCAGCAATGCGTCACAGTCCGGCCAATATTTCAGTCCACAAACTACATTCTTTTGTGAAATATGTAAGTATTGTAAATCAACATATTCTTGTAAACATGGCACCAACACAGAGAAGCTAACGTCTGTACAGTTATGAACTGGAGATTTAATAATAGACCTTAAATCTATTTTATCACAGGGCTGTTAGTGTAAAAAACAGCATTACAAAATAAAGCAAACACTGATGTTGGGAGTGGAAAGACTTGAGTTAAGGGAATCAGACTGAAATAATTTAGCTATCACCTAGACAGAGAAGAACGACAGATCTACAGCAGGTAGTAACAGAGCATTTAAAGGTACAGTGCACCATCGTAACAGAGCATTTAAAGGTACAGTGCATCTTTAAGTAAGGGTTTCACGTCAGCCTTCAGGGATAAGGAGCTCACTAAAACTTCCCCAGCTGAAGTTCGTTGCTGGCAGGAGATCATTCACTGCCATGGAAGAAAGTAGCACAAGTTTCCCTCTTCTTGCAGCTTGTTTCTGCAGGGTAGTAACTCATAGCAGGCTGGGAGTTGGAGCATTTTCAAAAGGTCTGTTTTGTGTCTGTTTTCCAAGTAGCTCCTCACTCACAGGTTCATGAAAAATCTGTCTATGGGTGTGTGACAGAGGTGAGAGCAAAGAGGAGGCGAGGCAACAGGGCACAAAAGTTGTGAGGGCAAGTTCCTTATTTACACGATGCCATGAGTTTATCCAGTGTGCTTTTGCAGGTTTGTTGAGAAAATCATGTCATTTTGAATAAAACAAAAGAAGTTCTTGCTGAGACCAGTAAAGAGAAATGTAGCATTTTCTGTTTATGATTTGTTTTACAAGCCACTAACCTTTATATCAGAAACCAGAACTTTAAAAAAGGGGTTTATCATGTTCCATTGAGTTTGTATTGAATCCTAAGGGAAAGAAGTGACGGGAGCATGTCAGTGCTGACACAGCAGCGTCACAGGGAGCATTAGAACCAAGTAGCTCTTCCACAGAGGAGCTGCAGCCGAGGAGACGCCTCCGACCCCAGCTGTGGCCAACCGAGGGGTCAGTAGCTGCTCCTGGAAGGTGAAGTCATCCAGGTTATCGGCGAGGTCTGAGAGGGAGACAGAGACAAGACAGACAGATGGGTCATGAGAGGAGGCGAAAAATGAAATATGTGAGAGAAGCAGAAAAAGGGATGGAGACAATTAGAGCAAACACTGTCACAAAAGCTGAAAAACATGTGTGGTATGTCTGTCCTTATGCATGATGTCTTACCCAGCTGTAAAAACAATGTTAAAGGGGGAGAAGGAGAAACCCAAGCTCCACATACATATAACCAGATGTTACATGTTACTCCTGTAGACACATTCGGAATCACATATATTTTACTGAGGGTGAGTGTTGGTGGATTTAAGTGGGCAGTTCCTGAAAACAGAAAATAAAAATAAAAACTGCAAAGAATGTATGAGGTTATGTCTCAAAACCTGAACCATCCACTCCTTCGGCAGTATCCTCCTACATGCAGCTATTATTTATTTTTGTGGATAACACTTCCATCTGTTTTCACTGTGTTGTTAATCACAGAAACAGTGTTACACTTCTGCAGTGAAGTTCTGTGGGCCCGTGGGACAACACAATTAAATGTCTTCTGGGATGGCAAGGAGAGAATGACACTGCATGGTGTGGGTGTGTGCTCTACTGTCCGCTGCACCTAACCTATCATACTTAACTTTCATCTCTCCTTTACAGCTATTGTAGAGATGTCCTGGAACAAGCCACTCATTTTCTCCAGTGGGGGTCTTCAGTTAGTGTGGCTTGGCTGGGAAACCCTTACATGTCAGTATGTGTGTTTTTTATATGGATAGGAGGCAGAGCTTTCTCTCTTTAGTTTCAGTTGCCCATGTAAATCCACTATTACTCCTCCATCACGACGGTTTCCTCCCTACTTCTCCATCTGTCTTGTATGCTGCCATGACTTCATGGTCACCCGCTGATCACTAATGTTAAGCAGTGCTCTGCCTCCCTGTGTGTGTGTGTGTGTGTGTGTGTGTGTGTGTGTGTGTGTGTGAGAAACATACTCTGAGCTGAAGTGTCCCCTTTCAAGCCAGATGCAGAGCATGCACCCACACCACACACACTTACAGGTGCATTTTTGGCATTACTTGGTGGCTGTACACATATACACACACACTCTCTCTCACACAAACACACACATCTTTGTTTTTGTCACTTACTGGGTCCCTACATAAACTCACATTCATTTCTGGGAGACTTACCCTAACCTTAACCAAGGGTAACACTTGCTCTGTCTTTACACCGCATTGTTTTTGCAGAAGCCATTGGTGGGAACCACCAAGTAACAGCTGTAAAGCTAATGTGCTCCCATTTGTCTATCCCCAAATGTAGAGCATAGCAAGGCCAAAGCCAGGCACACAGTCACATCTGATCTCCTAAAATAACAGCCACCTCCAAACTGAATTAGCTGTCTCATCTGATCTGTGTATTGTTGTCCTTAGTGGGAGCAATCCAGTGGGAGGAAGTGGCTAATCAGAGAGAGCAGTCAGGAGGCTGACTAAAAGCTTCATCCTTCTCGAGTAGAAACACGGGGCAAAAGGCCCTTCCTCCCAGGTCCCTGGTGCCACGGGCCCCTGCGCTGCTGGGTACCATCTTAAACAGAGGAAGTAGGCAAATAAATAAACCTCCAAAGCTCCAAACTGCATCTCCTACAGATTTCTTTGCGGTTACAACATTGTTTGAATGGCAGCCAGGGGACAATTAACGTTTTTTCTCCTCCTGTGTCCTCTGGCATGGCAGTGGGCAGACATTCTTCAGGGCTCTGAAAAAACAATTCGTCACTGGCGACAGAGGTGCACTGTACTGCTGAGCCAATTTAGCTCAAGGTGCAATTCGATACAGCTCTTATATATACAGTGAATAAGAGGGAGGGCGGGGGGTGGGGAGCATGCGTGTCTGAATTTGTGTGTTTGTGTGCGGATGATTGAGTGGGGTGTGTGTGCTTGTCCCTTTCTGAAAAAGTGGGTGACAAAGTAGGAGCACATTGTGTTTGGTGTGCTTTACAGTGGCTGTAATGTGGGTGAAAGAAACAAGTCTCAGACTGTGAAAAAATCCCTCAGACCGAGGAGGTAGAAAGGGTCTTTCTTGTCAGTTTAAACACTTCGACATGAACAGCACCACAGAGGGGCCTTGTTCTGTAGGTTCTAAAACAACCCAGCGGGGACTAAACACTGAACACAAGGTTAGATCCCCTATACTCCTACGCAGGGCTGGGACTAATAATATCCTGGTATAATTAGTGATGAACACCTGTGCCTGTATGTGTGTAGTAAAGTACTGTATAGACAGACTGAGAGTGAAAAGAGACAGACGTAATCCAGATCCAGCTTCTTTTCCTCTTTTCCTTTTGGAGCCTTTCAGGGAGGAGTCAGTGCAGTGGACAGGCAGGGACAATTAGACAAATAGATGGATAACTCCTAGCTATATATAGAGCCACAATCCCGGCTGTGATTAATGTGACCAGTGTGGGCCCTCGTGGCTTTTAGCGGAGCCAGGTTCTCCTGCTCATCCATACAAACCCACCATTATGAGACTATCACTCGTCAGAGGACACCACCTTGCTAGTGAACCCCTGCTAGCTTTGTTGCTCCTTATGAGCTCAAGATACGATCCTGGGGAAAGGTCAACAGTCCACCCACTGATTGGTTACACTGAGCAGGCAGGACAGACACATTCAGGTCAACAGGCAGTTTTCAGACAGGATATAACTTATTGATTTCTTTAGTGACCATTGCTCAGGAGAGCAGACAAATAAATCCAGATTGTGGTTTTCAGGGTGAGTGGATGTTTGTTTGAATCCCCCTGGAGTGCATTCATGTATAAACTGTATATGTGTGTGAGAACAGAGAAAGGAGGAGGAGGGGGAAGAGAGTCTGGAGTTTTGTTTTCGGCCACACTTTGTGCCTGAGGCTTGTCGTTTACAGTTCACAATTGTCACAACAAGAACACTGTATAGAAAAACTGCAACAGTGAGTGAAAACCCACATTTTCCAGTACACCACAACTACAGGTGATGAGTACAGGACACAGAAAATCACAGGAAACACTTCATTTGAACTGTCTCGCATTTTCAGTAAACATGTTCCTTAAATGCAGCCAAGGTACTTTCAGCATAAGGTGCACATCAGTAGCAAGTTCACATATTATTATAACCCCTCTGGCAAGCGTGTACCTTCACAGTCCTGTACAGTTTATTCAGTACATGTGTGCTATGCGCAGAGACCTTTTTTAGTCACATAAGTATGTGGAATGTTGTCTCCAAACACAGGTGCTCCTAATGAAATGGAAGAGATGGTTTAGATTGCTGCTATGCTGGCAGACCATGTGTGCACATAACACACCTAAGCTAGTCAAATTTGATCTAGGTTTGCAAGATTCAACAGCTTAAAAGATGTTATGGTTTCTGAGGTAAACCAAATATTTTATCACGCATCTCATCTCTGCAGAGCAAGCTATTCACTTGGATATTAAACTCAGTAAATTTAGAAACTGAGAGGCCAGTGTGTGTGTGTGTGTGTGTGTGTGTGTGTGTGTGTGTGTATAGCTATACAATGTCCTCACTTTCTCACATACATTTAAAGAGCTGTTTGGGGGTTAAGACTTGGTTTTAGGGTTAAGGTTATCGGTTAGGTTAAGGGTTGGGGTTAGGCATTTAGTTGTGATAGTTTTTAAGATTATGGTTAGGGGCTACAGAATACAATATGCCAGTAAGTGCCTTCACACAGATAGCTGTACAAACAAGTGTGTGTATCTTTAGTCAGGATCCACCCTTACACCTGCAAAGAAGAACAGTGTTTCTGTAGAAAACATGTACGAGCTGCAGGATTGATGGATTGGTTCTTATCTTGTGGAGGGTTACAGATAATCACTGTGATTATTGGCTTGTTGGTCACATTCTGTAATGTCTGTAACTTGGCCAGGGCCTGATTGTCCTGGGACACTGCTGACTGAGAGCTGGGAAGGAACTCTGGGAACGGTGCAAGATGCTTCTGTCCATGGGCTGACAGGAATGTGACCGTCTGCCTCCACACCCACAGGCCGACCACAGGGGCGCTCAGAGAGGCTGGGAATTTCGGGCCAAGACAAACGGGACGCCCAGAGGAGGCCCTGCTCTGGGCCTTTGCAACAGCTTCGCTCTCTGAGCTGATCTGTCCTCCCAACCTACACAACACTCACTGTTATTCTAAGCTCAGAGACCCTCCCACACAAAGGGCAAGAGCGTAAGACTGGGAGACATGATTCCAAAGTGGGGTTGAGCACATAAACAGATAACCCAATTTAAAAGGAAAGGCACAGAAATGGAGTTTGGAGACTAAAGGACATTTAGTAAACCAAAACAAAACAAGAACAATGATGGAAAAAAGGAAAGAGACAGATTTAGACTGAATCTAAATCTGAAAGATATTAACTCCAAAACAGATGGGTTTGTTCAAATAAGAAAGGAATAGACTAAGCTGTCAAAAGGGGAAGAAAATGTCCCAGACACTCTCTAAACTGTGGTTTTGTGAGACAAATGCAAGTTAATAGATATTAATTATTGGTCTGTGAAGGAAGGTGGTGCCAGTGAGGAGATGACTGGTATCTCTCTGCATCATCCAAATTAGCTTTACTCCAGTGTGTTTATCGTCTCCACTTCTAGTAACAACTAATATGATTGTAGAAAAAAGAAAGAAGAGGAGCTTGAAGAGAAACAAAAGCTCAAAGGAGGAACATACATTTTCATTGAGAATATTTCATAGTGTTGGCTTTGCGAGGGTGGAAAATGTGTGTGTGTCTGTTCACGAGAAGTAAAAACCATAACAAATCAAACATACAAAGAGCTGATTCTGTGCTGAGGGCAAGGGGCTTGTTCAGGGTGGGGACCGCTGCTGTGTACAGAGAGGGCCTGTAACCCTCAGCAGCTTGGATGCTGGTGCTGACTGAGGGTCAGAGGTTGGCATGGAGCACCGGTAAAGGGTGTTTGTAAGGCCACTGGACAAAGGAGGTTCTTATCAGAGAGAGAGGCAGGAGTGGTCATGCACAAAGGCAAGCTGACTG